TGTTTTCTCTGCAACTTCTYGTGCTTAAAGTCACAGAGATGCTGAACCTAAAATTTGTGAGCAGTATTGATCCCCGGTGCACTACTACATCATCTTAACTGGAGCAAAGTAAGTACTTTGAACAGCAAGTTATTTAAACTCTCCTTTAAGTAAAACAACAAAATTGTGGTTCTCAGGTGAGTGGTGATAAGCAAGTGGCTGATTCCAGAATAAACACTGAGCTTCCTGTTGTGCCATTTGTCGTGACAGGCAATTGTGGAGTGCAACCAAGGGCTGCCTGCAGGAAAGCTGTCAGCAGGGCTGACACAGTTACCATGGTGGAGCTCTGTTTAAGTCCCAGCATAGTTAAACCAGTCTTGGAGCTGCCCTGAAGCCCTGCAGCACCAGAAAACTGGTTCTGCTCCAGAAATATTTTAGCTGTTCTTCGCATGAATGGGGTTGGCAAGGTGTACAGCAGCCCTCCCTGCCTGCAAAGAGCTGTGAGGAAAGGCTCAGGGTGTCAGGGCTGTTCAGYCTGGAGARGAGAATGCTCCACGGAGACTTTATTGCAGCCTTTCAGAACTTAAAGTGGGCCTGCAACAAAGATCAGGACAAAACTTTTAGCAGGGTCTGTAGAAATAGGTCAGGGGCGATACTTTTAAACTAAAAGAGGSTAGATTTAGACTAGATATGAGGAGCAAATTTTTTATTAGGAGGGTGGTTAGACACTGGCACAGGTTGCCCAGAGAGGTGATGGATGCCCCATCCCTGGAAACARCCATGGTCAGGCTGGACAGGGCTTTGCACAACCTGATCTAGTTGAAGATCACTCATTGCTTGTCTTTAAAGATTCCTAATTCTATGATTCATTTTATAAATTGTCCTGAAACATGAGAGGGGTGGGATTTGCCCAAGGCTGTACTAAGGACAATGCTAGGTCTGTGGTTTCAGTGTATTGAGGAGTTCTACTAAGGGCACTCCTTGGTAGGAAGTAAATAGGCATGACATAGAAATGTGCCTGTGCCTCCAAGAGAGAGCTTTCTAAGAGACAAGACAGCAACTGCGAAGAAGCAGAAAGTCTTGCAGCAAAAATCATAGCAGTTGCTTTATCCAGGGCAGCACAAGAATTTTGAGAGGAAACTGGGAAAGGCATCAGTGGCATCTGGTAGTTGAGCTCATCTGTGTATTCTTCAGGGCAATTCTGCCTAACCTGGAATGGRAATCCAAAGGTAGGCTGTCTGATTTGGAGGTCTTTAAATCTCAGAGACAGTCTAGTTTTGACTAGACTAGCTTAAACTAACAACAAGGCTGCCAAAGGTGGGGAAATTAATTCCATCCACAGTGTATGTAGCAAAGCCAAAGAAATATTTACACATCATTGCCTTTCCTAGAGGCTGTTATCCTGAATCTAGTTTTCCAGCTGAGGCAAATCCAGATGATGTAAATCATTATGACTCTATTGACATAAGCTAGCCAAAATAATGGCCAAAAGTTTCTGTGCTACTTCCAGTTGTTTTTCTGGGTTGGCATAGTTTTTTTGGAATTGTCTTGAAGTGTTATTTAAATTAAAATTTAAAAGAGAAATGCTAGTTCATATTTTTGTTTAAAAAAAACCCCAAAATTCACTGACCTAAAAGGTGTTATAACCTTTTAGAGGCAGAAGTAAATGTTTTGAGAACATTTGAAAATGCCAGCTCCTTCCAGCCTTAAAAATCTCCATGAGTGCAACATTACTGGTTAAACAGAAATATCTGTATTGTGTAGAGCAACCACTCCAAATGAAAATGTGTTCTCTGTATCAAAGAGAACTCTATTAAAGAATAACCAACAGGCAAGTGTCTTGGCTTGGAGCTTGAAGCAAAAATTTCATCAGTTAAATGGAGGAAGCACAGTAAGAGGAGGGGCAGACCCTGATCTCCTCTCTGTGGTGACAGGACCTGGGGTGTTGGCCTGAAGCCATGTCCGGGAAAGTTTAGGTTGGATATCAGGAAAAGGTTCTTCACCCAGAGGGGGACTGGGCRCTGAACAGGCTCCCCAGGGAAGTGGTCATAGCATCTATTTTTGTCTTCTGGATAACTAAAAGACAARAATATAGAAAGTGAATTATTCTTCTTTTGCCATTCCTCTGAGCATTTGTGGAGCCCAAGARTTTTGCTGACACAAGAGAGTTTTACAGGTTCCCCCAAAGTAGTACAGTACTTTTTTGTTACCAYAAGGCATGTGATTTTTCTTCTTTCCCTTCAGTTTAATATATGTTACAATTTTTTAGTTGAAAGGAGCTAGAAAATGGCAAAGGACAGGAGAAGCATAGTCCTTGTCTCTAGATGGATTTCATCATATTCTGGGAGCACACAAAGTAAAAACTTTCARCTGGTCTAAGCCTCCACACTTGTCTTACAGGACCTTTTAACTTTTGTTTCATCTTCCTTTAGTTTTCTGGGGGACAAGGCATACCATCACGACATTAGCTGGTTTTATGCAGCATTTTACTGGAAATTTTCACCTTTCTTAATACCTTGGATCTTCTATTCTCAAAATACTTTATGATAATATTTTAGCTTATCACTGCAGGTCTCAATCATTTAGTGTGGACGCTCAGGAAGCCTAATGCAAGCACCCACCCCAAACACCCTAAAAAACGGAGCTCCCTTCATTTCTATTCACCCCCTGTTCAGTGAATGGAAAGCACACGATTTGTCCAGTTTCTTTCTCTTTTAAGAAATGTTAAGCCAAAGAGGAGAGAGCATTGTCCCACTGTATCTGGGAGGCAGATCACTGCTAAGCAGAAGAAATACCACAACAACCAAACACCGATTTCTGAGGTGCTTTAGGGCTGCAGCTAGTGTTATACAGAGATGTGCCAAGTCTTTATTCAAGCAAACTGAATAATSTGCATTGCAGCTTCAAATGGGAGAAGCACTGAGATACCTGCTCTTTGTTTGACAGAATTGAGAAACTTGATACCAAAAAAAAAGAAGAGATGTTGGTCTCAGATACTGACCATCCCTGGAGAATGTGTTTGAGCAGTCAGACTATGGTGAGAGCCCCACAATTCAYTGTGGGCAGCACAAGTGGGAAGGTTTTAAGCAGATTTTTTTTGCCTTCTCCAACAGATGTGTTGACAATCCATAAGCATATGGCTCTCGTTCACAGGAGTTATTTGCCCCCAGCTTTAATGTAATTTACAGGCAGTTTCCTAGTCCTTATTTCTCTGATTTCTTAAATATGTGTGTGTTTCCTCRAGAGAAAATGKTAATAATCCTCTGAAACAGAAAATRGATGGAATTTAGTTCAGTCAAAAGCAATTCAGATCCTTCAGATTTGAGTTTTAGATGCCTCATKTAAATGGTTTGCTAATGAACATTGACAGAAACAMAGACCAGCATTGGTCAAAGRGAATTCACTTTGTTTTTTCCCTCTSTTCTCTGTTGATGCCCAYATTATCTGACAAAAGTGGRTGGTTTTTTACTTGCTTTTATTACTTTTTAAATCAAAGGCATTATTGGATTCKTATTGCTTTGTGGGGACAGATTGAATAATCTAAATTACTTCTATTTGCAACATATAAAATTATGCACGTTAACATTGCAGATGCTAAGACACAAGGAATGTATGACAGAGTCTGGAAATCTCTCTTCCCCCACAGCAAGAATTTTCTCTGTACTTTGAGGCCCCAAGGGTGTGAAAACTTGTCTTTGGTGGGTCTTCATGTTGCCAAGGCAGGTTATTTGTAGGTCAGAGCTTCAAGGTTTACCCACAGAGCGAAAAAGTTGCTTCCTACTTTCCTTACTGGATCCTGTCAGCTCTAGAGACTGCACTTCCTTGAGGGTTCACTGAGTAATCTGATGTGTTTGACAGCCCAAAAAAGCATGAAGATAAAAGTGGTCTTAACCATTTCATAGCTAGGTAATGATAGGAGCAAAAAAAGCATGGTGTAGAGATGATGTGCCTTCAGTACATCATCAACAAAACTGACTTTAAATGTTCACTTTTTGTAAGATAATGCAACTTTCTAACAGAAAGGAAAGGAAGTCTTTATGATTGATACACTAAAGTAGGGCTCAGGAGACAAGATAAAAACTTAATTGCYTCTGCAGCTTTTATGAGTGTGATTCATCTGGTATAACTTTACCTACCTGTGAGTTAAGTGTTTAATCTACACTGGTTTTTCAAGGCCCTTCTGTGAGACAGACAGGTATTTCTAGTTCACCCAACTATCCTAAATGATGACTCTTTATTACTTTCTTATGACAAGAGAGTGAGTCTCTTTCTCTCCCTAAACACATGATCCAGATGAATTCATCTCACCCACCTTCCTCATTCCCTTGACATTGTAGCAGCAAGGACATTTTTTACACATGTTCCCTTCTGGCAGAGCATTTGGGGATACATATGGTATCATAGGGGTGCATATACATTGCTATCTGTGTACAAAGCCCAGGATAAAAGCCTGCAATAAAATGGGTAGTAGTCACATTTTATATTTGCCTGATAGTTCTTTTTCTAATCTTCAGGTCTTTAAATCAAGTTTATACTGTGTCCTAGAGTACAGTGTCTTCACTTAGAATAATTAAACTTACTCTTAGAACATTTGAGGCCCAGAGCAGTAAGCTGTTGTATGACAAAATTACTGAGCAATTCTTGTTTGTTCTATGATGGACTGTGAGATGTGTGGCAAAATCCCAAAAGCCTGGTTAGCTGATRAGCCTGGGTTGCTAGGTTCATTGGYAAACTTTTGRAAAAGTGTCTGATCCCACACGTACTGGTTTGGTATTATATTTGCAAATAATAGCACATTGCTGAATTTTGTGATCTAGTATTTGCAGTTCTAGACTCAACACTTCCCATGAACAATTTTACTATTAATGTCTTGAACAAAGTTGGTCTTGTTGGTCTCATTTTCTTTTTACCTTGTCTTTGCGAGTACTCCTGTTGAACTCCACATGATTGTAAGCTGGTCTGTGGTTAAGTAAAATAAACAAACTGTGGCCTTAATTTTGCTTTGTTTTTTTTCTTTTCAGTGGCTGCATCAACTGCTAATTCCACAGCTGGTGCGGCCATGAATTCTTTGACTTCTCTGGGTACTCTCCAAGGACTGGCTGGAGCCACTGTTGGACTGAATAATATTAATGCACTAGCAGGTACCGTAAACAGTGAGTATTTATTGCTGTGGTGGACAGCCTTCCCCAGTAATCATGCCACAAAAACTATCAATTTTAAAGTGATAATATGATTTTTAAAGTCTACAAATGAGGGGGTCCAGTTCCATTTATTCAAGTTGATCCAGTTCCATTCATGGTACATATGGAGTTTGGAGTGTTTTAGTTTCGCAGTTTGCCCTGCAAAGTGAATTTCCTTTGGTCCCTGCATAAAGACTCCTCTTYTTGCAGTACATAGGGAAGGTAAAAGAATTGTCACCAGGGATTTAGGTTGTCTAGGTCATAGGAGAGGCTCTGTTTTCATTGAGAGAGTCTGACAACAGGTATATCATCCCAATTAAAAATCCTCACTCAGAAATGTAGTGCTAAGAAAGATGTTTGCCACAGAAGCAGTTCTTGCAAATGTCTGTAAGAATTATCTGATTGACTTGAGAGCAGCATGCTTTAAAAATGAAGGCAAGTGTTTGGCTTTTAATTGGCAAGTGCAGGAGAACATGCAGTCAGTCACCTGTAATGCCASAGCATGCACAGCTATCCTATGACATCTTACACAAACCCTGGCATCTCCAGCTAAGCAGATRCCAGTAGTGGTTGGAAAATTCTTCCTTGTTCTTAGCCTTGGTGAAGATTTTCTTGAGGAAGAAAGAATTTTTTTTTATTGTTTCTGTTATGATGACTTCACCTTTGCCTGTAATGGAAGAGATTTGCCAAGCTGCATTTTTCCCCCTCCCTTTTTTACTTTAGCTGCCGTAACTCCTTGCATTTCCTTTTGTAATGCAAGGAATCTATTTGGTCATTGCCAGTCCATGACCTATCATAATGTACCCTCAGGAATGGATGTCCTCCTCAGTATCTCTTGCTCACTCTGATGCTCTGCATGATGTCCTTTCTGTCACTGTTACTTGGCTGCTCACCCAATCTTTTTGTTCTGTGATCTCTGGTTGGCGTTGTTGGGAGCTGGGAAGGAAGGGGGCTTATGGATGTCCATGTAGCAATGTTGAGTGGTTGCATGGGGTTTCGTGTAAAACAGGTCTTGCTTCTGGCAAGGATATGTGCATTTCACACAAAACAACCTCTTTGTAAGTACAACTCAAGCACACCTTAGGAAAAGTCAGTATTAAGTCCCAAAATGGCAGATGTTAGTTTCTTATTATTCCATTAGTGTCAAAGCAAGCCACTGGAAATGGCACGCATGAAAATCTAGCTTACCTCCTCTCCTCTCATGAGCTCTTGTAGTAACAGATCTACCCTGTCATGAGTAAGAAATCCTTAAATGTCCTTTCTGATTAACAGTCATTGTGCTTCACTTGGTTTATAAAAGGTCACAATATCAAGAGCAAAACATGGCATCCCACTCCTCCCSTCCCACAAGTACTAAGAACCCAGGCACACTGGAGCACTCCAAATAATGTGCCCCTTTATCATGACAAAGAAAGAGTGAATTTTGTGAGCTTTTTGCCTGTGAATCCCTCTCTTGCATTCCTTTTAGCACTCCTTGCTAGGCTGCAAGCAGAGTTTACATTTCCTCAGCAAGTATTTTGAGGTGATGTGTGTGCAAACTTATCTGCATGTGCCATTTGAAGTATTAATGATATATTCACAGCCTGGTACCAGATTTCAGTTTGTTTTAAGTCATCGTTGCTTCTGTGGACTTGTACTGACAGTGACTGCAGTCCCAAATCTTCATGGATGTTTTTATGGATATGTGTATAGYGTTTACAAAATGTATGTGGGTATGTCTGTCTACGTATATACTTACATGAGAGAGGGATAAAGAGGGGAAACTGTTTCCCTATGACACAGCTCAGCACCAGGACACTGTTTCTCTCAAAAGGGTGTCACCAATTATCATTTTCTGGTACTCATGATGCTGATCATAGTGAAGCATTGCTCAAATTACAATAACCTCCCCTRTTTTAATGACAATTTGGGGCTTTTCCTGATGACCATGTCTGACTCRGTCACTCACACTCAAACCTGCCTGAGTGCAGTAATTCTGATGTTTCACACTGACATGTGTCATAAGCACTCCAGTAAAAAATATTCACTGGCCATGGAYATTCCTGAAGTAATTGTGCAGCAAACAGGGAATTGAGTGACATGCTTCTAATCGGGGAACTAGAAAATCCAAAGCACAAGTCAAACAGGGTTTAACCCAAAAATTAATGAGATGGTGGCACTGGGCTGTGTATTGATTTATATAGAGGTTGAAAGAGATGCATCTCTGCCTAAGCCATGTCCTGCTCTGAATGTGAGAATCACATGGARAATGTCTTCCATGCTGAGCTCACTAGAAGACTTTTATCTGTTTGCTCAATCCTGTCTGGGTTTGTGAAAAGAAGCTGAGCTGTGGAGGCTGATAGTGCTGTCATTGTCGAGAGAAGCATTTTTAAAAGATGCCTGGAGGCCTTCACTAAAGTGGAGTATGGTAAGTTTAACAAACTCCAGTTTTGTAGGAATCAGGCCCCCCTCAGTTGTTCTTGAAGCACCTAAAACTTTAAATGGCAAAACATTAGACTCTCTGCTTTGAGCATGTAAATTTAAGAATTTCTAAGTAACAAATATGATTMTTAATTATGAGGGAAAATTACTAAAGAGGGAGGAAGCAGTTCTTTACAATTAAGAAAGAAGACCATACTTTCAGCTATAGCTCAGTATTTGTGTGTGACCCCAGGGCAGTCACTTAGCCTTTCTGCCCCCTTATTTACATCTGTAAAACAGAGATAAAAGTATTCATGACAGATTTGAAGGTGCTTGAAAAGCACTTTGAAAGACCTTTGGGCTTGCCAAGCTTTGTTGCTTCTGTRTTATGTAAAGAAACTCAGAAAAATAGAAGGCCACAGATGAGAGGCTCCAAAAGGTTATTTCACAGAAGGGAGGAAAGGACCAGAGTTCAGTGCGGTGCACTGAGGTGCGCTGGTAGAGATAATAAAGAGATGGCAGAGATGTGTAACAGCAGCTGGGCCTTGCAGATTTCATAAAAACGTAAGAATTAAAAGGTGTGGGGTGCTTTCTGCAGCTCAGTTTTGCTCAGGAGGGGGGTGTGGGCCACACGTGGGATGTGGCAGCAGTCGCTGTGCCCTTCCCAGGAGCAGTGCCGTGGGCTGGGCTGTCTCTCTGATGGCTGCTCTGGAATCGCTTGGTGGGAAGGTGCTATTGATTCCAGGGGAAAGSGGGGGAGGATGCTGCCCACTGCATCACAAAGCATGTTTATCTAATAGGCCAATGACTCACCAAAGATAACATGGTATCCTAATACTACTTCTGTTATCAAGTTATTTCAACACTAATAAAAAGAGAGATACAAGCTGCTTTATCAGGAGGTTTTATTTTAACCGGTCCTGTGTGTACACCCATGCAAGCAGTGACACAAAAAAAATCAGAGCAGACTAAGGCCAGCCTCAGGATCAAATTATTTGTAGTAGTAATATTAAATACATATTATCTAATATATTGTATATTATATACAATTTATTATAAAAATTCATATTGATGTTGTAATTATTTTTGTTATTGTGATATTTTGAATGCCATCTCTCATTCCCCCTCCTGAACTGGGCAGGGGAGAGAAAATATAACAAAAGACTTGTGAGTTGAGAAAAAGACAGGGAAAGATCACTTGCCAGCTACCATCACAGGCAGAACACCCCTGGCATGGGGAAATTAGTTTAATTTTTCACTAATCAAATCAGAGTGGAATAATGAGAAATGAAATCAAATCTTAAAAACAGCTTCTCCCCACTCTTACTTTCCTCCCAGSCTTAACTTTATTCCTGAATTCTGCACCCAGTGGTGCAGGAGGATGGGGAATGGGGGTTGTAGTCAGTTCATCACACGTTGTTCTTGCAGCTCTTCAGAACTGGACTCCTCACACTGTTCCTCTGCTCCAGCATGGGGTCCCTCCTGCAGGAGAGAGTTCTTCACCAGCTCCTTCAGTGTGGGTCTGTTTCCACAGGCTGCAGTTCTCCACAAATTGCTCTGTTCCATGGGTGTTTTCCTTCAGGAACAGGCTGCTCCAGAGTGGTCCCCCATAGGGTCACACGACAGCAAACCTACTCCAGTGCAATCCTCTCTGCACAGGTCACGTCAGGAGCACTGGCTTCCCACAGGGTCACAGCCCTCTTTGGGCATCCACSGGCTCTGGTGTGGGTTCCTCCAWGGGCTGCASRTGGATCTCTGCTCCCCCATGKGWGCTGCAGGGCTCARTTGTCYCACCATGGCTGCTTCAGGGGCTGCAGGAGAATCTCTGCTCCAGAKCTTGGAGCACCTCCTGGCCCTGCTTCTCCACCAACCTTGGTGTCTGCAGAGCTGTTTCTCTCACACATTCTCACTCCTYTCTTCTTAACTGCAGCTGCCATTGCATAGGGCTTTTTCTGCTTCCTAACCATGTTACCCCAGGGGTGCTGCCACTGTCACTGATGGGCTCRGCCTTGGCCAGTGGCAGGTTTGTCWTGGAGCCATCTGACATTGGCTCTGYAGGACATAGGAGAGGCTTCCAGCAGCTTCTTACGGAAATCACCCCTGTATCCCCATCACTACCACACAAACCMAATCCAGTTATAAAACTGGAATAATTATACAAGAAACACCCAGGTCTGTTGAGCTCTGACAGAGACTTTTGTTCAAAGCAGTGGCAGCCAGTACCTCCCATCAGGGTACAGCCRTGCTCTGAAGTGGGGTGGAGGGGAAAGAGAAGTCTTTAAAGTGAGACATTTTATTAAGGAAAGGCTAAGAATATCACATCTCTGTCAAGTGTTTAGTCACACAAATTATAGTAAGATCAAAAGGTATAATTTATGCAGTACAATTCTCTTAATTGGCACAGACTCTGGTGGAGCCCAAAAGGTGCCACTTGAGCAATTGTCCTGATTATTGGAGACTCATAGGAATATGCTTTTCAAATCTACATAAGAGGTGGAAGGATACTGGGTCAGCATCTTTATCCTCCTCTGTCAGTGCTGGATAATTCCCTGCAGTATTCTTCCTRTCTCTAAATTACTCATGTGATAAGGTCTCTGCCATCTTCCTTGAAGATTGTTTCCCAGTCTAATAGATTTCATTATCAATTTACTATAAAGTGTCCTCTGCCTAATTTCCCCACTTTCCCCCAATTTACATACCAACCCTAATTATTGTTCAGAAATAAGGCTGTTTCCTTCTCTTTACTGTTCCTTGTTTTGTGGTCTTTATATGACACTACCACCCACATCYTCACCCACCATTTTGCCAATCAAAACATTGTAGACAATGCCTAGGAAATGATTGCTAGTGATTCTGTGTGCCCCATTTTTATAGTGACTGACCCTCTGTGTCTCAAGGGGCCTGAATAAGCCCTTTCAGTTGTTTGTGAGCTGCTCACCTAGAAACTGGGGAGCCTGGGGTAGCAACTGTGCAGAAAACATGGCCTGACTCTCAGTCCTGATGGGCTCTCACTGCTCAGGTTGGCACAAGTTGGGTGTGTGGAAGATGAGCAGGKCTCTGAAAACTGTCATGCTTCCAACTTGCAACAGAAAAGTCACTTTTCTGGAATTTCCAAGACATGCTAGSACTGTTAACTTCAACATAACTTATTTAGGAGCCATGCTGATAAATAAAAGCAGTGGAGGGAAGTGTAGCTCAAGAGTTTGTCCACCATCCAATCAGAGTAGTACAACTCCTTATGCAGCACACACTGTTTGCATGGATGAGGGATGTCATTTTCTGCACAGTTAGCAATCCTGTCTGAAATTTCCTTTTTAACAGCCTTCYCAGTTAAATTACTCTGTTACTTATCAGGATGTAAAATTATTGTAAGTTAAAAAAAAAAACCCAAAAACCAAAAAAAAAACCAACAAAGTGACTGTGCTTCCTGTGTGAAGAAAAACATTGCTAGAAACGAATGCTTTTGTTTCTTCATGAAAGATGCCTAGTCTGAATGAAGTATTTTTAGTCACTCTGGATGTGCTGTCTTGTGGAGTGACTGGAGTAAATGGAGGAGGAGGGTGGAAGCAAAGAGCATCGCAGYCCATCTTTCTACCACAAGCCGAAGGAACAAAACCTGTAGTTGTACAGAGGATYATCRTAGAATCATTTAKGTTGAAAAAGACCTGCTTTAAAATGCAGTTAATCAGGGTTTTCTGCTCTCTTTGTATAAGCAAAACACTTCTGATACAATGTGGTCATGCCTGTTGTTGAAGACCCTGGTCAGAGAGAGCAGGTTTCCTCACAGACCGCTTTTCCAGTGACAAATAGATCCTACACTGCCAGGCTCAGGCACACACAGCAGAAACACAGGTGTCGAGGAGGACGAGCAGAGAGGCTCTTAGGAGCATGGAGCTGTAGTACTTGCCAGTAGCAGGCTGCATGTAAGTCCATTTGACTGTGCAACCCTTGTGCTGAAGTGATCCTGATGCCAAAGTCGTGTTTCTTTGTCCTCAGTCCCATTTGGTGGAGTGCCGAGCTGCATGCACTGCTGTCGTTGTCAGTGTCGTATAATACCAACGACTTTCGGAAAGCACTAATGAACAAGTGCAATTTCTTTTCTCTATTGTTGGGTTTTTTGTAAAGTTGCTCAAATGCTCTCAGGTATGGCGGCCCTGAACGGAGGACTCGGCGCAACAGGCCTGACGAACGGCACGGCCGGCACGATGGACGCGCTCACCCAGGCCTACTCAGGAATCCAGCAGTACGCGGCCGCCGCGCTGCCCACCCTCTACAGCCAGAGCCTGCTGCAGCAGCAGAGCGCCGCGGGCAGCCAGAAGGAAGGTAAGTGCCCTCACATGCCGCCAAGCCCAGCCCGAGTGGTGCCACCCATCCGCTTCCTCGTGGAGGTCTCATGGAAGGCCTCGAGCTGTCTAATCTGTGATTTCTTTCCCTCCAGTTTCCTCCTGTTTAGCGTTGTCACCTTCTTTAACCTCTGATGTGTTTCATTTTACAACCATCTGTTCTTTGAGTTATACTTCACCACCCCTCCTTCCTTACRTAAAAGCTTTTGCCAACTACCGTATAAAAAAGCACCGCTAACAAAAATCATCCCTCTGTGGATGCAGTTTTGTCTTCTGGTTTCCATTTTCTGTCATAGTGGAGCTAATCTGATTAGGTTTAAGGTTTTGAGCTAATGACAAGATCCGTTTTCACTTTGAGTGGTTCTTTGCTTAATTGTGGGGCTTGTGGGGRAGCAGCTAAGTGAATAATTGTCCCCCTCTCCCCACACCAACAGCAAATAAACCTCAGGAAGTTATTGCTAAGAATAAATGAATACTAATTACAAGGTGYTTAGGGAAATGAGGTTACCCTTTCCCCCTCTTCTGTTCCCCTACATACTTCCCAGGCATTTTGTGGGGTTGTTTCTGTKTTCATTGCTTTCTCCTGTCCTAATTTCCAGCTAATTCTACAAAGACAGGAAAATACCACATGCTTTCTAAGACTGTATCTATGTTGTTGTCACTACTGTTCTTGCCAAGGATAAGCTTTGGAAATAAACCTAGTACAATATCCCCAAGAGAAATCTATTTTATCCTCTTTTGAAATAGTGTCTTGTACTGTTATGGGATGTGTTTCCTAGGAAGACAAATTTGGCATTCCCCCAGCTGGTTATTGTATAGGGACACTGGAGTTAAAATATTTCTTCTGAAGTCTTTTCTTCATTTTCTGCTAACAGCTTAGATTATTTAAAATGAAAGGGAATTTTAAATTTTTTTTTATTTTTTTGTCTTCTGCATTTATCTTTCACCTCAGGCCTTTTGCTCAGTGACAATAGAGTATCCGACACCAGAAAGAAAAGGTTTATTTGGTGTCATTGCAGGATACATAGTGAAGGACAGTTTGATTTTTTTCTAACTAATATTTTTTTATTTAGAAACATTCAAATCAACTTAGGCTTATTTCTTATTATTATGAAATGCCAGCATCCTTTTTAAAATACATTATTTTTGTTATATATCTTGTATCTGTTAGTAAGTGGTTAAGTTCAAGTTCACCATTCCACTGCTGAATAATGACMATAATGTTTTGTCTCTTACCATGATTTCTGATGGAATGGTGAAGAGTCTGGAGTGGTTGAGCATAAACAAGTATCAGAGGAAAATGCTATATAAATATTAAATACTGAAGCACAGTGAACTGCCTCATGCATATGCTCTTAAATATTATTTTGTAAGGTTATTTTTTCCCTGCTGTTTTAAAGAATATTATTTGCTGAGAATGACAGTTTACTTGTGACAAGAAGAAAAACAGTGACAAGTTTCCAAGTGACAAGTTTTTTCATCTTTTTTTGTCCCACCTGCCCCCAAATTATTTTTTTTTTTTTTTACCTAATTCATTTTTCCCTTCCATTTGGGCAAACTTTGCTGCCTTTTCCTTCAGGCTGAGAGAGAGCAGCCAGCCTGATTCTGTTGCAGAAGGAACTCCGTAAATCTGATGAGCGSTTTCCTCTTCCTCTCCAGAAAACCAAGGACATCACCTCTGAGGCACACTTAGGTTTCATTAAGCAAGGGAATATTTAATCAGATTATTCTAGGTGTGTTTTTAGCAGGAATGCTTGTTCCCTTTGTATACCTCTTATGCTCCTGGAGCCTGCACAGGGAGGCCACATCTGGCTCCATCATATATCACACTATTCCTGACATCCACTGCTTGTTTCCAGTGTGTTGCTGTTAAGGGGGAATTGAGCTAGGTAAAAAAAAAAAAAAACCAAAAAAAAAAACAAAAAAAAACCAAAAACACACCACCTATTAGTGGTAGGATGAATGTTTTAACCTACAACTTTGAAAATACATATTTCAAATGTTTCCATAGGAAAAATATTAGATGCACCTTAGAGTTTATGCCTTTCTTTTGCAAGCTGAACTTAGTCTAAAGACACTTTAATTTCAAACCAACTACTTAATTTTGAACTCTTTTAAAAGACTTGCTTTACAAAGCTTCTTCCAGGAGACAGAGCTTTCTATGGGGAATTTTTTTTTTTTTTAAAAAATCAAGCTAATTTTGAAATGAGTCAGTAATTTCATTCTGCACGTCTTTTTCGCTCTGACTTCACTGACTTCTAAGTCACAARGTGTGCTTTGTCTTATTATTTTTATTCCTATCTCCACCATTTTCTTGCCCTTTGAGTTTAAATCCATGCTACTCAAATCTGAGCTCACCTCATTCCATTTCTGTAAGTTCCTTCAATTGGAATWAAACTGACAAACCCATGCAGGTGCTTGATGCAGCAGAGGACTCCTTGTGCAGTTCTTGGGGTATTTTGAGAGCCAAAACATTTTGTACCTGTTTTCCTAACCCTAATTACACTGAAAGACACTTATGTAAATTGAAGAAAGAGGATGAATTTAACTACTTCTGTAGTAGAGTTATGAAATAAACACTTTACTTTTCAAAGTAAACACTTTTCATGATGGGATGCTCTAAAAAGCWGCATTTCAGCTGTGTTCCTTTGATGATCCACTTGTTTTTGTTCCTTCRAAGTTGGAAAGTGAAATGCTTTCTGACCATCATCTTCAGTAAGTATTATGGAAAAACAGATTAAATGTAGCACTTGTAATAGCTGCCTTCACTTCCTTTTTTTTTTATTATTTCTTTTATTTTCCTAAAGGTCCAGAAGGRGCAAACCTCTTTATTTACCACCTCCCCCAGGAGTTTGGAGACCAGGACATTCTGCAGATGTTCATGCCTTTTGGAAATGTTATCTCTGCTAAAGTCTTCATTGACAAACAGACCAATTTGAGCAAGTGCTTTGGTATGTCAAATTTAATAAATCACACAGTAAAAACYACATGCACTATACTGAAAAGGGGCCAGGAAAGAAAATTAACAGCAATGTGAGAAATGTCATACTGGAAACTCATTCCAAAAATAATGGACTGTTAATCCTCAAATGAGCAGGAAGATGCACAGACAAACTACTTCTAACTAAAAATTGGATATGAAAAAAACAATAATAATCTTCCAGTCTGACATCTCGCATGAATGTGTCAAGTACATGAAACTAATTACACCCTATGTGGGGGAATGTCATTTAGTATACTATTAAATTGCCTTATTATGGATACCTAATTATTCTCTATTGTATAGCTGAGCCACTTAAAAAAGCTCTATGTTTAACCCATTACTTCTACATTACAGGAATTTACAGGAATTTCTTTCTTCTGAATTAAGTGCAAGATTTTGCAATTAGTGACTGATTGGTGTGTACATGTAGYTCAGAATATTTTGCAGATGGTTGATGTCTAGATATCAGCAGCTCCAGCTGTTGGGGCRGGGTGGGTCCAGTGTTTTATGGAAGGTGGCATCTCACCTTAGGGCAGAGATGAAGGAATCTCACAAGATCAGTGTCTCAAGTKTCCCACAGAATACTTTGAGCTGTCAGAAAATTAGATCACAGCAGAAGAGKAGATGATGTGTTGGTATAAAAATAGTTTTAGGGTTGATTAGGAGGGCTGATGTCTTTGGAATAACACAGATGCATCAGTTCAGTGCTTTGATGGAGTGAAGCAGAGAATGTGAGCGAGTGGTAAACTTTTAGAGCATTGGTCTAATAATTATGGTCTTATACAAGACACAGGGTGGATTTAGGAGGAGGAAAGAATTTCTTAAACATGAGTTTTATAAAGGGCTGGCAAAAAATATTGGAGTTTTCTTAAAAGTGATAATTAATTCCTGGAGTAAAGGAATATGACAAAAGAGGATTGGATAGCACACTTGCGAAGTTGATTAAGGTGATGGAGTGTGACATTCTTTCTGCATTTTCCCAGTTTTTCAGYTCATTTTTGAAGCATTCACCTCTTTAGGCTTTACAAAAAATTATTCATATCTAGACCACTATAGTCCAGCCTGKGTCTGCTATGGGTTAAAGCAGTCCCTGAGGCTCTTGCAAATTTGAAAAGTGGAATTGAAATGGACTCCCCATTGATCTGGAGCCAGTTCTGTTAGTATGCTGGGGTTACAAAATCGTTGTTGAGGTCTCGAGGAATCTTGATGAAATGTCAAATCAAGCTATATTAATCGAAATGCAGCAATTGTGGTGACTCTGAAAGAATGTAAATTAGTTTGGGCAGGTGGCTCAATTCATCAGCTCATTTCCCACACTTGCTTTTTGTGTGTTTCCTTTTACTCTCTGATTACCTTCTTCCACATTTGCTTAGGTTTTTGGGATACAATTCCCTAGCTTAGAGTGATGCACCAAGGCTATCTTCTTTGAGGGAAAACGGAGGTGTCACCCGACACCCAAACACCCAGTGGATGGAGGAATCCTCTGTCTTTAGGCAGCTAAATCCTCTGGGTTTAGGCAGCTTTCACTGATATTTCCATTTCTCATTTTCGTTCTGCCACCAGGGAGGGAGTTCTACTTTAAAAATAAAAAGTAGAAGTGGCAGATGAAACTGAGTTTTCTGATTCAGTGGGTGACTGCTTGGTGATGCTGCAAATCACAGGCAAAGACAGAATTAGTCCTGCTAGCTTAATGTACTGGCATAGTCTGTATGTACCTCCTCAGCTYTATTAGCATGAATCATCTATTTGTTGTTTCAGTCCCATATTTGTGCTTTAGACAGCTTTTTTTTTTTTTTTCCTCTGTCCTCCCACCCAAAAACTAGGGCAACAGTGCCAYTGAAGAACCCATTTGTCTGCTGAATCATTAATGGTCATTGCTCTTGGTACAGTTTGGGTTTGGTTTTTTTATTTGTTGGTTTGAGTTTTTTGCCCATAATAATAATTACAACAACAATAATAATAATAACAATAATAATAGTTTGCACATGCTTAGGGCTTCCTACTCTGGAGTTTYCAATCTCCTGCCCAAAGGAGGAGGAAGTCAAAGTACAGATGAGAACAGGTTAAACATCCAAAAGGTGTAAAAATTGTCCAAGCCTATCCACTGGCAGAAATGGGAAGGGAAAGTGCATTCTGAATGAGTCACCAGGCAGTGAGATACAGTGAAAAACCTTTATGTTAAACTACTTCTCAAAATGAAAAACTCATTTTCTTTGCAGAGAAAGGAATTTGGCATATTTTCTTTCCTTGTCCAACCCAAAAAGAATGCTCAAAGGGCTAAATGGTGATGAGGATGACAGGACAGTCTGTTTACATCTGGAAGTGCTCTTCCATGAGTTCTCACGGGCTCCACGAGCTTTAGTTGATTCAGCAGACAAAGGGTTTCACTCTTCAAGCTTATCTCCTGCCATTCATAAACCTTAGAATAAGAAAAATGAGGTATGTAAAAGTAAGGAAAAGGAGGGAGGACCCAGTTACATCACTGCAGAAATTCAGTCAGCCTCATAGCAAAATTGCTGCTTGAATGATTAAAATATTTATGCTGATTATAGAGATACCCAAAGATCTAAAACAAAAATCAGAATTATCATGACAGGGTCTTTGAAAATAGATAAGAAACATCATCCCAACCTCATGTAAYCTGTGTTTTAAAATTCAGACAAAAAATGATGAATGGGTGCAATCAGAAAAATACAAATAAAGGAAAGGAATGCCAGATTCCTCAATAAGTTTTACAAATAAAGGTTCTCAATAAGGAAGAAGGTGAGAGTGTAACAAGCTAATGTAGGTATTGCATTCTGTATGAAGAGAGAAATTGTGATTCAGAATAACAATTGAACGATAGGGGCTGATGCCAGCAGTGCTGCTCAGAGGTTACATGTTTGAATTACTGTCTGAGTCAAGGAAGCTGTAAGAGACACAGAATGAGGTGACTGGTATCACCTCCCTGGAAGGTAAGGTAAGCACAGCCTGAGCTAATTGTTCTGTTATCATTGGAGGAGTCTAATTTGGTGACATATCTGATGAGTGGAAGAGCCACTCAGGGTGTACTTCCTTCTCTTCATTCACCATCTGTAGATGTCATCTGACTAGTTTAGATCACTTGCTTAGTTTCCAGGTGGATAAAACCAGGTAAAAAGGAAAGGAACTACAGTGATGATAAGTTCATAGCAGTAATATGTGCTTAAGAGAGTAAAGTGAAGGTCAGGAAAGCTGAAGAGGGAAATGCTGAATTGTCAAGGTAGGTAGGAGCTCCAGTTGTGGAGCATCTGCCCAGACGGTGCTACAGCTGCCTCCCAACTTATGGTAGTTCCCTTTTCTATCCCTGAGACAATCCTAGAGCTGATGGAAGAAGTCACAGAACATAGAACTAAGATAATGATTGGACTCACGTTAACAGGATCTCCTAAAACAAAATAGGGGAAAGGAAGGAAGGAAATGTTGAAGCTCCTCAGGATATGGCAGTTACTTCAAGAGGGAATTGTCTAGGGGAGAAAGTGAGGAAGTGAAAGGAGATACTAAATCCAATGAAAGTATGGARGAACATTTATTATCCCTTAAGGAGGTAACAAATAATCAACCACAGAACAACATGGGTAGAGCATATTGCCTTTGGCCAAAAGAAGGTCTGCAGAGATTTAAGTTAAAGGTGGTTTTGAGTGGAAGGAACAGAAGTTAGTCTGAGTATGTAAAGAGTTTTAACTTAAATAGTTTGGTGAAGTTGGTTTAAGCCACAGGGATGGTCTGTGAAGGAGAACAGCTGGACAAGGATCAGATTCCTTGATAARGGGGGAGGATATTTTGCAGTGGGGAAAGTGTAATAACACTCTGACTCTGCAATTGGTAGAGGGCAGCAGTGTAAGAGGATAGGTTAGAGTAATTATAAAAAGAGGTTATTAATCCAAAAAGAACACAGACACTAAGAACAAATGAGTAAAGCTGGTTGGTGAAAGAGAGGCATGGAGAAGCCTGTGTTAGGACTGAAGACAAAAGTGTATGGTATCCATGCTTTAGGAGAGTAAAGGGGTATGTATTTGGCAAATTCAAGTGGAAAGAAGAGGGAACATTTCAAAGCAGATGCATAACAGCAGGTTGAGTACAGTAATAATTAGCACAAGCTGAGGCAGAGCTGCAGTTAGGCAAGCTTTGCAATTACAAGTGGGAGGCCCAGATATGAAAATGAACTTTGAGCTTCCAGAATAAGGGAGATTTGAGTATATTATGAACAGAACATTTTCAGTCTCCCAGGGAAAAGAAATCTGAGCCAGGCCAGCCATTCTGAATTACCWGAACAAGCATTATCCTCATGGTTAGTGCTCACAACCGAGAAGATCTAGAGTTCTCATCAAGTCCTGCCAGTGTCTTTATGATGCTGCTTAATTTTGATGTTTGTGTACCCCTTTGGGGACCAAGAGACCGAATTAACTAACATTAAGGTACCCTGAGACCTTGAACTGCGAGGAGCTGTAAAAATACAAAATATTAATATTGCAACTGTCCTAGGCCGAGYCCAAGGAGATGAGTGTTCCATAGCACACATGAGCTCACACCCAGATGTGCCAGTGGGTTTAGGCAGTTTGGGGGTTGATTTTGTAACAAGGCTTTTTGTTTCAGCTTCCCATCTGCAGACTGGGCTAAATAGCACTTCCTAATAGACTGGGAGGTATGTAGATACTAACTGAAAAGACTTGCAATAATAAATATCTTCAGTCTCTAAGGTATGCAAATAAATAAAAGAATGGAAACTGCATTGCACCAAAATTGGCCAACTGCATCCCAGCTAGTAAAGAAATACTATGAAGGTAAAGAGGAAGGCAGAAGGAAATGGGGTACAAAATGTGATCAAAAAACTAATTGAAAGTGAGGTAAATGTGTCAAATAAATAGCAATCATAAAATTCTAACAAAATGCCTTCTGACATTTGTTGTAACCTGGAGTTGACTTTCTCTCCCGCCTCTGTTCTGTGTCTCGCAGGTTTTGTTAGCTATGACAATCCAGTCTCTGCACAAGCTGCTATCCAGGCTATGAACGGCTTTCAGATTGGCATGAAACGCTTGAAGGTTCAGCTGAAACGCTCCAAAAATGACAGCAAACCTTACTGATCTTAACCCCAGATGCTTACTGCTCTTATTTTAGCTTTCTTAGGGTAAGTCCCATGAGCAAACCTGTCCTCTGCAGGGGGGTTAAGAAAGAACATAGAGCCAACCTTCACCAAGAGACAGTTATTTTTACAGTTACCACTTCCATCTCCCTACTTGTCCTTATTACACTTGGCTCCCATTTCCTTGCCAAGTAATTACTGAGTTGTGTTACTGTATTTTGTTTTGCAGCATAATTTATCTCCTTTTTGAAACAAAAATAAACGTCTTGAAATTCCAAACAGCACACACACACACACACACACACAGACACAAAAAAAAAAAATGTGCAATTTAACTCTGTGAACCCTGGTGCCATTAGCACACAATAAAAGTTGTTTTCTATGGATGGATCGTATTTTACCAGGGTGGCACCAGCAGTTTATAGGTTAAACAAAATGGCCTCATGCCAGTTGAAGCACTTATTTTGCAACAAAAATTGAAACAAGTCTTTCCACTACATCAACTTGTTTTTTGAGAAGATTTGATTTTTTTTCAGTTCAAATCAACGTATTGTTATATATTAGTCTGATTTTACACTGGTCGTCTTTATATTTCATTTTTTTTAAGTTCTTGTTTTTTTGGAAAGGATTAATGTAAAAAAGATTTAGAGATCTGTTTCTAAAGCTACAGGGTTTAAAATAAAAAAAAATAAAATAAAATGAGTGACAATACTTGATGTTTCTTGAGAGATAAATTTAATAATAATAAAAAAAAGAAAGCCACAGGCCTGTAAATTTTATTTGTAAAAAGCATTTCTATTTTTATACAAAATTTTTACTGCCTCAGAAATAATGGAATTTATTTATTGCCTATTGTTAACTTATTGGATACCTAAAGAGCAGCTCTCTATGCTAGCTAGATCCTTTGAAGTAGTCTCTAGAGTAATTGTGCCAAGAATGGGCGCTTTTTCACTGTTGAACCCTCCACCCTTTACAGTTCATGCTTTTATCCTCTTGTTTGTATTTGTCTGGTTATTTCGTTCGTAGTTTCCATTACCTAGTTTAAAGTTCAGTTGTCTGACCCTTTTTCCCTCCTCTCCCTGTACCTTTCTGTTACATTTGTAGAAACTGGTTCTTTCCTCTCTTTTCTCCCCAAAGAGGAATCCATTCTCTTTGACTCCTTTCAGATGGATTCTTTTGGGGTTCCATTGTGTTGTTGTTGACAAGTATTGTAAGTTAATGCAAATTATGTGAACGGCTAATAGGCTCTACTGATAAAAGATTTGCATTAGTTTTCTCCTGCACCCATAAAAGTGATTTTGTTTGTGCTGCATAGATTCTGTGTAACTTTTTTTCCTCTTCCTTGTTTTTTCCCTAGACATCTCCATGCCCGTTAGCCCATCGTTTGCCTAGCATGTCCCTGTGGCGTCTCAAAAAAAAAAAAGTTTCATCGTCCCGTCATTGTTTCTGATGTCTTTCTGACCTCACATCATATTTGGTTCTCCTACTGACCTAGTTTGACCTTTGAAATTTGCATGTGACCTCATCTAGCTATGAATTCTGGGAAGTCAATGTGAAAAAACATTGCTGCATTCATGCAAGACTGAAATTTATTATTAGATAAATTAATGATAGGATTTAAAAACAACCTGTGGCAAAATGTTTTTTCTTTCTTTCCTTTTTTT